AGACATATTTCTGATTTTTCGGAATTTCATTACACAACTCCACATCCATTATCTTCGATATTTTTACCTCTAGTTGGTGCACAGGAACATTTTGTCGTTCAACAAGAATACTTGCATTCTAACTCGGAGTAAATGGAGTAGTGATTTATTATTATTTCGTCGCTGAAGATGGTCTAAATTGCAGACCGAAACGTTCGACGGGGCATCTTAATGTTAATTTGTAAGATTATTAAAAAATTTTTTTCGCATTGTTAACTGCGTTTGACTCTTAATAGCCTTTAATTTATGTTTTATTTATTTGTTTTTAACAATAAAGAGTCCATAACTAGTTTATATAATTTTATTAAGAATTTTTGTATAAATGAAATATGCAACTTTCTAATAAATCAAAATGTTACTCTCTATGATGATGTTCTGATAACTCATCAAAAGAATTGCCGCAATTTTCAGTTTTCTTAATTGAAATTTATTAGCCTTTAACCTTAAATTCATATAACACTGCAGCTGACAGCTGTGTATAATTCGCTTGCGCGCGCATTCCCTCCCTACAGTCATGCGCATTACCAACTACGATCTTAATCTATTCCTCTCTGTCAATCTACTCGCCTTCACTTTCGAGAGACTATGCTCCTTCCAGTACTATATGTTCTAAGGCTGCCGGCTGATGTCACACATACGCACTAACACACACGCAGGATACTCATATACGCACTACTACACACGTACCTCGCCATCTTGTTGTTCCTATCATGGCCGAAACCGGAGATCCGGCCGGCCTCAGCTCTTTCGGCTGTGTTAGCGATCTAGTATAGTATAGACATCTGTGCTATTATGTAAAAACATTTTGGGATTTGTCACCGTTTGTGGAGAATGTCGTATTGTATATAGCAGGTTATGTGTGTAACAAAGTGTACAAAAAAATATATTGTTCAACTTGTGAATTACAATTATTAGGCAATACTATGCTACTGTTATCGAACATAGAGAACCAAGGACCATATATAATACCAGCATTAGATGTTTGTTTCATTTGTAAAACAGCTGAAAAGATTATACGGTAAAATTCTCATTGTCTTCGTTACGTTTTATTTAAATTAATATATAACTTTATTACTTGAAAAGATTTTACGGAAACCAATATTTTTACATATCCATTCTTCTCATAACATAATAAACTATTGCTAACATCTTGTTTTGTATTAAATACAAAGTAACTAATTTTGCTTAATAAAGCTGTTGAATTTAACGCCGCGCCTACGCATTTGAACGATTTGAACATCTCTCCCAGACAACCAATAAACGGGCATTTATTATCCTTCTATGTTTCTTCTTGTCGCATCAATATAAACCACGCCTCACTAGCCATATAGTAGTATTACATATATATATGGGCCTCCCTCAGCTCTGGGGGCCAATCACGTAACTTTTTCTCTAGGGTGGAAACGTGAAAAGTGAAAACTTTTATGAATGTATGTATAAACATATACACACATACATGCAAAAAATTTTCACGTTTCCGCCCTAGGGGAAAAAGTACGTGATTGACTCCCTGAATAATAAGGTGGAAACACAATAGGCACAGGCAATAGGCATAGGCAACAAGAAATAATGATTCGTCCAATCAGAGCTCTGGGATATAATATCGAACTTAGGGTCTACGCACAATAGGAGAAATATTAGGAACATATATTAAATATAAGAATTTTAACCTATCAGAACTGTGTACTGTGGAATGTACGCTTTCTGACAGGTTGAAATTCTTATATTTAATATCTGTCCCTAATTTCTTCTATTGTGCGTAGGCCCTTATATCTCAGAGCTTTGATTGGATGGATCATTATTCCCTGTTGCCTCATGGTGGAATACTTCCACCATAGGTGTGTTCCGAGTTACGCATGAAGGGCGTATACTGCATTACTGGTGCGTAGAAAGTCTATAATTGGAGTGACGCCATACGGGTATCACTTGTGATTGGTCCGTCATGTTTTAGCTATTCCCTCCAGTTTTTCAAACGCATTATTTTCTAAATTTTGTATTCATGCTAAAAAATGCTAAAAAATTATGACAAATTAAAAAAAAATGGTAATAAATAAATACTGTATACAAAATAATGTAACTTTTTGTATATTTATTACAAAATAATGTTATTTATTGCATGTTACTTAATACAAAACAATATTATTTATTGCACGTTATTTACGCTATGTTATTATTATTTTCATAATATATCTTTTTTTAATGCATTATTGCAAAATAGTATTGTACATACATCCAACCATATTTCTAACTGTTTAATGTTTAATAAGCAAGCTATTAATTTCTATCAATGTATCTGTACGCTGGCTGTTATACTTAGAGTCCTAGATATCAGAGAAACGCAACCGATGTTCCGCGTCCTGATTAGCTGACTGTCAGCCAATCATGACATTCATTCAGTGGTATTAAAAATGGCTGACTAATAGACGATTGGTGGATATCATATTTCGTCTGCAAAAGACGCCATTTTTATTACTTTTCTTAGTAATTTTGCGATACTGACTTAAGCCGGTTGCGCTTCTCTGATATCTAGGACTCTAGTTACACCTAACCCTAATGGGCCTTCTACAATAAGCCGTAAGCACAGTATATACAGTAGCGCAACTCTCCCGATTTTATATTGCCTAAAATGGAGTACGCATGCGCGAAATATGGCAGTTACTAGACTATGCCTTTCACTTTTCATCCTTTTTTTCGCTCTGTCAAACCTATTTATTTAGCGCATGCGCACTCTATTTCCGCCAACATAAAATCGGGAGAGTGCGTTACTACATATACTGTGCTTAGTGCTAGTGCGTTTTGACAGAGCGAAAAAAGGATGAAAAGAGAAAGGCATAGTCTAGTAACTGCCATATTTCGCGCATGCGCACTCCATTTTAGACAACACTTACATCAAAGTAGAGTCCTAGATATCAGAGAAGCGCAACCGGCTTAAGTCAGTATCGCAAAATTACTAAGAAAAGTATTAAAAATGGCGTCGTTTGCAGACGAAATATGAAATCCACCAATCGTCTATTAGTCAGCCATTTTTAATACCACTGAGTGAATGTCATGATTGGTTGACAGTCAGCTAATCAGGACGCGGAACATCGGTTGCGCTTCTCTGATATCTAGGACTCTACATCAAAGATGCCGACAGAGAGTTGCGCTACTGTATATACTGTGCCGTAAGTCACAAATCATAAGTCATAAGCTAGAAATGGACCAATCACAGTCGTCAATTTTTAGTTTCTTACTTCCGATTTATGACTTAGGGTGCTGTCCCATGACAGTCGGATTTCGGAAAACGGAATCTCGGAAAAGTACTAAATCGGAAAATACTAGACTAGAGAGAAGACACAGCAGTTGGCACGCGCATGATATAACGCGTTGTATTCTATAGTTTGTTACGATGCGCGTTACGACGTTAAACTACGACGCGATACGACACGGAAATGGTCACGGTGTCGTTTGCTACGACACGAAAATTACCTCAAAAATTTATTTTGTTTTGAGTAAAAAATTATCAGTGGTAAGTTATTAAATATTGATTAATATATGAGTATTTATTGTTTCCATTATATGTATATATGATTATTGTTGGAGATATACAGAATTGAGTGCTTGTCTGCTTGTCGGTCCGAAATTTTCATGACTCGGTTTCCCATGGACCAATTTTTCCGGAATTATGAAAAATCGGAAAATTTATTTTAAATATTTTATGAAAAAAGATAATTATGATATAGTAGAAGTATCTATAAGAAAATAAAATCCCGATGTACTTTTTATTATAACAGAAGATAATGAATGAAACTTTTAAATTAAAAGTCGGTTTGAGGTTAGAATAATAGTCCGTTTTCCGAAAAAGTCACTCCATGGGAAACCCGGTAATCAAAAAGTCGGAACAAAAAAAGAATGATTGTAGTAATTAAAAATTTAAATAATTTTCAAATAAAATTGACTTTTGAAATGAAATTTATCTTTTTCTATTATAAATTATGTGATAGGAAAACATGACGATATTTTAATTTTTCTCTTAAAACTATTTAAATAAAATGTTGTAAAAAAAAAAAAATGTTAAATGTTGTAATAAAATGATAGATTGGCTCACACATAGCCCTTTTTTTATTTTATTTTAATATTTATTAGTTAATTAAAATTAATATAACAGTTAATTTTTTAATTGTTGTATTAATTTTATTTTGCAGATATATCATGGGATCGACAAAAATGAAGCTGCTTTTGACACAAGAAATTATTAAATGGCAACGAACTCTATACTCATTAATGATTGAAGAAACACGACAAAAATTGTTGAAATTATATTTATATTTATTGCGGAAGACTGTACAAACTATAAGTGTAGATTATCTTGAATAAATATATTAAATAAAAATTTTACCATTTAAATCTTTAGACACTTTTTTCCATAAATCATTCTTTTGTCGACTTCGTTCTTTTAAGGGCATTCGATAGTCATATAATGCAGGTCTCTTTTGGACAGCATTTATTAAATCTTCATCAATTGCTTGTTTATTTATTGAATAAGAGTCATTATTACTCATCTCTTTCGCCACCTCATTTCTTTCTGTATAGTTTTCTATATCATCTAATTCATAGTTTTCAATATCTAAATGATATATATTTTACATTAATACATACATACGTATTATTATATTTTACATTAAATTAATAATTATAAGAAAAATAAAACTGAAATGTACTATACCTTGTATGGAAATATGTCTGTTTTGACTATCTATCACTAAGATTTGTTCCTTTTTGTTATCAATATTTAGACATGAATGCATTGTAATTTGATCCTTTTTTAATACCCACTTACAATAACTACATATATATCCCTGGAAAGGAAAAAAGTTATATTTTTTAATATTTCTATTATTATTATTATTCAATACCTATCGATTACTCAATAACCAAATCTACAAAACAAAAACAACAGGGCTACGAGAGTCAAGCTAGATATTTACTGCTAAAATTATCATAAATCAACAATAATTAATTTCTAATAGATATTTCGACCTGTATTGGGTCATTCTAAATGCAGTTAACATACAATTTAAAAAATTCAACAGTAAAAATTATAAGAATAATATTATTTATAAGAACATTTTTTCAATTGTATGTTAATTATTGAAAAAGACGCAATAGGTTGTTCGAAAGTTTTTTAGAAATTGATTTTATTGTTTATAATAAATTTTATAATTATAAATATGTAGCTTGGCTAGTAATCCTGTTGTTTTACTGTTTTAATTTTAAACTATTTGAGCTATATTAGGTGCTTTCCAATTGATGACACAAGTCGACACCAGTGTCGTTTTATCTTTGTCATTCTCTAAATGTCAAGAAAGATAGAACGACACTTGTGCCGATTTGTGTCGACTTGTGCCATCAATTGGAAAGCACCTTTGTGTACCAAGAATCTAACCTATAAATGCATAAACTTTAAATTTATAAAAAAATTTTACTATTTTATGTTATTAAATACACATTTTATAAAAAAATTATAGTAAATGAAAATGACTTACTATTTCACTCATGACGAAATAAATTTTTGAGATAATTTTCGTATCGTAGCAAACGACACCGTGACCATTTCCGTCGTATCGTGTCGTAGTTTAACGTCGTAACGCGCATTGACCAGCATTGACGCGCATCGTAACAAACTATAGAATACAACGCGTAATCATGCTCGTGCCAACTGCTGTGTCTTCTCTCTAGTCTAGTATTTTCCGATTTAGTACTTTTCCGAGATTCCGTTTTCCGAAATCCGACTGTCATGGGACAGCACCCTTATGGCTTATTGTAGAAGGCTCATAAAATTGACATACTGTGGCAGTACTATTGGGTAGACTGAAACCGTGTATATCTCTTTCTCTCTCGCAGAATTTCGCTAAAACATGGCGTAATCTTTCTTATAGCGCTACTCTGATTATAGGCTCTCTACTGGTGCGTAACGCTTTGAAATCGTTCCGTTCAGTCAATGCGCATGAAGCGCTTTAGTTATTCGGAACGATTTCCTATGCATTCTATGCGAGTTCAAGATGGACACTATACAAGACGTCAATAAACAATTTCCAATAATTGTAATTTCTTCTTTAATACTTTTAAAGAAAAATGATGAAAGTTTCGATGATAGTTCCGACTCGAGCGATAGTGAAAATGAAGTCGAAGGCATATCTCTAAGTGATATGCAGAAGTTATTTTTTCTATTAATGGTAGATAAATCACGTGGAAAACAAATTAGAGTTGAAAAAATTATAGATTACGTCGATCGCGTAATTCCTAATTAATATAACGTCTAATCTATACATTAAATAAATCAAGGTAAAATAATGCCATTAATTTTGATGAAAATATTCAAGGACTTTTAATATAACAATGGGCGCGTTCAACAGACTCAACAGTTGAGTGAGCGCTCGCTGTTATTGGTGTATTCTTTTAGATCATCCAATCAGAATTTTAGATCTGGAAGAATACATCAATAATAGCGAGCGCTCACTCAACTGTTGAGTCCGCTGAATGCGCCCAATATTCAACATAAATTAAAAGGGCGAAGTAAGAGTCAGAAGTAAATTACATTTAAAATAATATTAAAATGTTAACATATTTACAATAGAGAAATATTACAAAAAATTGCTTAAAATTAAAAACATGATGTCCGTTACTTAAAATTAAAAACATGCTGCGCGTAACAATTGTTAAAATTAAAAACATGCTGCGCGTAGCAAAATTGTTACAAGTGGGAATTGAATACCGGCGAAATACTGGCCCAGTACCAACTTTTAGTATTCAGTACCGGCGTGATATCGGATGCCAGTATTGGTATTATACTGGTGTAATACTGGGATGATAGCAACGGGCCAAGATTCGAAATACAGTATTGTTATGGTATGGGATTACAGTGTTGTAATGTTCCTAAACGTCGGTACCATTATAGTACGATATGACAGTACGGGATTACAGTACCACAACAATACTGAAAATCAGTACACATATTGTACCTAATGCAGTAACAATATTATACCAAAAATGGTTACCAAATCATAATGCTGCAACAGTACTAAGTACCAGTACTGATTTATAAAACACACACAGTACTAGTATGGTATCAAAAATCCGTACTACTTCTCTGTATTGTAAGAGTACTAAATATATCGACACTGATATTTAATACTATAACGTATATAAAGCCAAAAAATTTTTTTTAAAAATTACTTAGGAATTTATATTCGAAACATAAACAGGCATTTAACAATACATTTAACATTTTTTATTTTAAACATTTTTACACAGTGCATTTAACATTTTTTTATTTATCATCCCAAGTGGGAACAGAATACCATATATATGTGCATTTAACATTTTTTATTTTAACATTTTTTTAAAAATAATTATTAAATAGTATTTTTATCACTTTCTCTTTCTTTTCTGCCACCGCACCGATCAATTGCTCCCAGAACCAACGACTCATTGCTGAATTTATGTGTTTTTCTTTCCGCATTCCAAATTTGCTTATCAGAATATCTGTCAAATAATTTTTATTTATTTTTATGTTATAAGCTATAATTAACAAATTAAATATTAACTGTCATATAGGACCGTTCTTGTGAGAACCATAGACTTATACTCATAGACTGCGCATCTCAACGGGCCGACTGTCGTCTGGACTAGAGAGAGAAAGCATGAGTGGTCGGAGCTTTGTCTCTTTCTAACGATTACCACCATTACCATCGTTAGAGAGAGACAAAGCTCCGACCACTCATGCTTTCTCTCTCTAGTCCAGACGACAGTCGGCCCGTTGAGATGCGCAGTCTATGAGTATAAGTCTATGGTGAGAACACAATCAATAAGAAATATGATTTAGCCTATAACGGTCGAAGCTAGATCTTTGTTAAATAATTCAATGTGAATTATATATATGATATATACATATATACACGTATACAAATGCAGCTAAACTACTGATATAATATCACGAATACTAACATACCTATAAGTAATTTATAAATCTTGGTTTTGCTAAAATTTAATTTTTTATTCTCGTTTTTTTGTCTGCCGAAAGCTGTAAACAACTTGAACGTTTTTTAACATTATTGCCGACAGAGTATCGTGAATAGCTTTTTTATATGTTGACGTTATGTCAACATACTTCTCAAATAATAAACGCTATAAAAAAATGCAAAATTAAATAAGAATATTTTCTTAAAGATAAAAATGTATAATTAATTTAAAGATAAAAATAATTTAAAGATCAAAACGCATTTTTACCTTTAAATTATTTTTATTTTTATTATATATATATATAATTAATTTGAAGATAATTATTACCATGGCACCTTTTTTTTCATCAATATCCATTGAAGCATCCAAATTATTAAACTCATCTAATGTGGATGTTGGTAATTTAATTGTAATAATTTGTTTTAATGCAGAAATTGAATTTGTTTCTTCTTTATGTGGCAAATTTAATAATAAATTGTTTTGCAAATCTTCAAATCCTTTTCTCAAATCATACAAAATACTTTTTTTTAATATTATCTAGTTTTTTTTTTTAAAAATGCTTGTACTTTTTCGTAGCAAGCATCAGCAACATCTTGAACAAATTCTAAAAAAATATATATATTTATCTTAAAAAATCTAGAAATCTAGATTTATAATTAAGCAAATATTTTTTACATCAAATAAGAATAAAGAGCATCACAAACGATAATCAAACTTTAATGTACCATTATCTAAACGTTCGTTGCGAAATTTTGTTTGTCCTGACGAGTTCAAATTTTCGTGTATGTTTTTATCACTCCTAATTCAATTAATAGATCTCCTTAATGGAGCCTTCTCATGTCCCAAAACAATTGACCAGTGCCGAGGAGAGTTAAGTACGTGTTTTATTAAAACGGGGGAACACATACTGGACTATATAAACCGTGTTAAAGAGTTACGTTCTTCGATTTTGGACGCTGAACGCCGAATACATGGCTCAGTGGATAGTGAAACCGCCGCGGAGATCGACGTACTAACCGCTCGATCCTTTTGCGACGGACTTCCTTCGCTTTATAGAATCCAGATGAGTCCTGGATGTTACTCGCGCCTTTTCGAAGCTTTCACAGCTGCTAAAACCCTCGCTCAAAGAGAAGAGTTAGAGCGACAAAGGAGAGATCCTCGTGCCGGACGGAATGATACCGCGAGGTTTTCTGCAACATCATATAATCCCACGTTCCGATCGGAACCGCGAAGGGACATGCCGGTCCCACGACAACAATCCATGCCTCCTGCATATAACCGCAGCATAAGGCAACCTGACCCTGTCGTATCGCACCATAACCCTCGCGCCGTAACCGCGCCTAAAACACCCCGTGACGTACAATCGACCGTGTGGTGCCGGTATTGCAAATACTCCGGACACGAAATTCAAGATTGTAGAAAACGACGGTATAATAATGCGCGCCAGGGAAACTTAACAAGCCCCCCGAGTCGCTCGGACCCGCCTCGGACCGGGGCACCGCCAATGCGTCCAATCCGCCCCATCGAGACTGTGCAAATGGAGCAAGCGGAAACGCCCGAGTCGGAGTCCTCAGACTGAAAGATTTCTCACACGCGCCCGCTATAAAAATAGAGAGCAACGACCTCCTAGGAGATGCCGTGCTCATGGTAGATACAGGCGCCGCTCCAAACTTAATTAAGCAACATAAACTAAAACCGAACACTCGTATCGATAGATCTAACCTACTACATTTAACGGGAATCACCGACGGTAAAATAGAAACCTTAGGGTCAATAACTATTGCCGTTGCCAGCCTAGAGCTACCGTTATATGTAGTACCGGACAACTTCCCGATATCGCAAGACGGTATCTTAGGTTCCGATTCTCTTCGCGATAACGGGTAGGTCGATTTCATAGAGCAAATAATACATCTGAGCGATGCACGTTTTCCTTTCGTCGGAGCAGAAATCATTAAAATACCAGCACGCTCAAATGTAGTACTCAGTATCCGTGTAACAAATCCGGAATTAAAATCGGGTTACGTGCCCGATTAAACGTGCACGACAGCGTCTACTTAGGAGATGCCGTTGTGACAAGTCAAAGCGGTAAAACGTATTTACGAGCTTTCAATACAAATCCCGACGAAGTATCTATAATCGTCCCGTCGGTTAAACTCGAGGATGTGGAAATCGTCACGAATCCCCACACCTATTCCAACCGATCATCTTCCCCTTCTAAATCGTCACTGTCTCCTTCTAAATCGTCACTGTCTCCTTCGTGTCACTCAGATGACACATCCCTTCGACATCATAAATTACTCCCATTAGCTAACCTAGCGAGCGAAAGGAGCATCGAGGTCGAAGGTCTATTACGCCTAGAGCATTTAAATCTAGAAGAATCCGCACATGTGCGACGTTTAATCGAAAAGAATAACGATATATTTCATTTGCCCACCGACAAGCTGGGACACACGAGTGTGACGCGCCACACTATTAACACAACCGACGAGCTCCCAATCCACACGAAGCAATACAGTTTCCCACCGATTCACAGAGATGAGATAAACAAACAAGTAAAACAATTATTAGAAAACGAAACCATTAAACCATTCACTTCACCATATAACTCACCTCTGTGGATTGTTC